ATGGATGGAGCTAGAGAGTATTATGCTAAATGAAATAAATCATAAAAAAATACCATGTGATTTTACTACTATGTGAAATTTAAGAAACTAAACAGATGAACATGGGGGTGGGGAGGCAAACCAGGAAACAGTCTTTTAACTATACGGAACAAACTGAGGTTATTGGAGGGGAGGAGGATGAGGAGATGGGTTTAATAGGTGATGGGGATTAGGGAGGGCACTTGTTAGGATGACCACTGGGTGTCATATGTAAGTGATGAATCATTGAATTCTACACTTTTTTTTAAAGATTTATTTATTTATTTATTTATTTATTTATTTATTTATTTATGAGAGACACAGAGAGAGAGGCAGAGACACAGGCAGAGGGAGAAGCAGGCTCCATGCAGGGAGCCCAATGTGGGACTCGATCCCAGGATTCCAGGATCACGCCCTGGGCTGAAGGCAGACACGAAACCGCTGAGCCACCCAGGGATCCCCTGAATTCTACACCTTAAACTAATATTATACTGTATGTTAACTAACTGGAATTTAAATTAAAATGTAAAAATAAATAAATAAAAAAGGTGACTGAATTCTCTGTTTAAGAGAAGTAATTGGTTTAAATTAGTAGATACCTGTTCTCTGTTTTGGACAGGTGGACAGGAGTGTACTGAGTGCATCCTATCTGATTGGTGCTGTAAGGAGTGCTTAGAGGTCTGATAGGGAGCTCCAAAAATACTTACTTGTGACATGCTATGGTTCCAAGTGGAAGAAACAGCCTGCCTATCCTCTAGGGTGGCTCTTATTGGACTTGAAGATCCCAGACAGATGTACAAAAAGCAAGATATGTGCCCATGGGAGACATGAGAGGTTACTTCAGGTATAATACCTGTCTGTATGCAGGATGTTCAGAAAGTAGAATAGACTGGCCAGCAAATATGGCTAAAAGAATGAATAAAATAAATAAAATCTTAAAAAAAATAAAAGAATGGTCACTATTGTAGTCTCCATTTCTTCTTGTGCTAAGTTCTGTTCTTCAATTGCCCACTCTGTGCCCCCCACCTTGACTGTGTTGAAGTAGGGTTTATATATTTAAGTATTTGCTCTCAATTTGGACACTGTTCAGTGATGCATACAGGCTTAGGGGGGCATGGGGAGGTTCTGATTTATAGTGTTTGCCAATTACTGGGGTATAACTACTTTCACCCTGGCTGATTTCTCAAGCAGCCGGTTCATGTAATGTCACTGAATGCTGAGTTGGGACAAGATGCAGTAGTTGTTGTCTGCTGGCAAGACCCCACTGTAGGAGGTGACTGCCAGTGTTCCCTGCTCAGGGTTTTCCTAAGTACAGAATCTTTATTCCAGTATCTGGAAGGAGACTCTAATTTCCCTTGCTATTCCAAGGATTGTTTTTTGTTTTTTAATCTCTGTTTATGTGGTGCTTTGGTTCTTTCTAACTTAATCTCTTTGTGTTTTATCTCTGCATGTGCCATCTGCTTTGTACCCTGATTAGGAAGGACCAGTTTTACTTCCTGATTTTAGAGCTGATTAAAAGGGGAAACTTCATTATGGATACTTGTATAAGAAAAGCATTAAAATATTTATTAAAAAAAACTTTGGGGATATTAAACATTCCTTATCTTCACCCCTAAGGGCTGCTCACAGTTATTCATAATTTCATTTATTTCATCTTGTAGGGTATTCTAGCAGTTATTACATTACTTGTTTTTGTTTTTGTTTTTTTTTTTTTTCATTTTGTTCATTGTAAGCATCTCTTGTCCTTTTCACACTGAGATTTCTGAGAAGCAAACCTCTGTTGTCATCTCTGTAAGCCCAGGGTCTCTAAAAAGTCCCTGAAATCGATAATTTGTTGGATGAACAATGAATAATAGACATTTGCCTAAGTTTTTAGGCATATCATCCTAAGAGATCAGGTCTAAAGAAGAAGTCTGGAATGGTCCAAATTAAAGCAAGATTGAGACTTAGTCATAGCATGGGTTCTGTAAATAAATAAAATACAGGAGAAATCTAGGACTGAGTCTTAGATACCATCCATAGATGGGACCAAAGGAAGCAGTATTTTTTTAAGATTTTATTTACTTATTCATGAGAGACAGAGAGAGAGGCACAGAGACACAGGCAGAGTGAGAAAGCAAGCTCCATGCAGGGAGCCTGACGTGGGACTGGATCCCGGGTCTCCAGGATTAGGCCCTGGGCTGAAGGTGGCGCTAAACTGCTGAGCCACCCAGGCTGCCCAAAGGAAGCAATATTGATGATAATGGAGATGGAAGGTTGTGGGAAGAAAATAGACTAGTATCTTATGGAAGAGCTTTATAAGAGTATCAGATATAAGATGGAATGAGAAACATTTGCTAGATATGAGTAGAGGGATGGCAGTTTTAATTTTCAGAGAACAGTCTATTAATGAAGTGGGAATAAAAACTTTATTTAAGAGACTTAAGGAAGATATGAGGGGATAGGAATGAGAATCAATGTGGATCACTCATCCAAGGACTGACATGAAACAGGAAGGTGAAATGAATGCTAGGTATAGGGAGACAGTAAGTAGGGTTCTAGCAAGGGTAATTATTAATTTTAATGTTAGAAATTTTTTCATTGTCAGCCCTCTAAATGATGCTTCATAAAGGATGTTTAATTTTGAAAGTGTTACATGTAAAGTTCCATGTTTTACCAAGTTGATGTCTTTCCAAATATGGAGAGCCCTAATTGAGGTGGGTGGAGATTTAGAGTCTAATAAAGATCATAACATACTTTTGATACAAGGGCTGGTATTGGATGATTTTAGTTTGCTATGTACATCTGTTGATGAGAGTACTGGAAGAGAAAGGAAAATAAATTCCAGTGCAAGGCAATTCAAGATGGTATGAGTAGTATATGTATTGTAAGTCAGTTGTTGGCAGAGGGGTATATCTAGCTTTTGGAAAAACCAACAATGACTGGGCCTTAAATTAACAGGTAGCATCCCATCACTCGGTCATGGAGCATCTAAACAAAATAAGTAGCCCTTGCTTATAATCTAAAGAGAGAAAGGCCATCTCCATGAAGTGAATAGAGCACAGCAATAAACAAGATGATGATTCTGTGACACCAAAATTAAGACAAGTATTTCTTATCTTTTTAAGGTAATCTGCAGGGATGCTATGCATTTTAACTATAATATGTGTCTTTCCTTTCCTTTCTCTTCTGTATTGCCAGTCTTTTAAACTGTGATTTAGAATGGGTGGTTAAGTAGACATGTGATGTGGGAATCGTTAGCTCTAATTTATTTTTTTGAAGATTTATTTATTTATTTATTTATTTATTTATTTATTATGAATTAATAATAGAGGCAGAGACACAGGCAGAGGGAGAAGCAGGCTCCACGCAGTGAGCAAGACGTGGGACTCGATTCCGGGTCTTCAGGATCCCGCCCTGGGCTGAAGGCGGCGCTAAACTGCTCAGCCACCCGGGCTGCCCTGTTAGCTCTAATTTATATACCAGCCTTCATTTCTTTGGACTTAGTGTTTGAAGCAGTTAGAAGAATTTTAAAAAAATAAAATATATATAAATGGTGTGGAAATAGAAGTTCAGGACCTTGGAGCCTATGGTGTGTCACTGTCCCCTTGACTTTCTAACCAGCCTGTCCCAAACTTTTAGGGATTTTTTTCAAGGGTCTCTTGGGGTCTGAACACCTAAGAATAATAGGCTTCCCTTTTCTGATTTTATTTGGTCCATCATTCTCCAACCTGTATTTCCCAGAATTATTAGATAAGAAAATATACATAAGGATGCTCTCTTTGAATGAAAACCTATAATCATAGATCTGATTGTTGGCCTTTTCTAGATGAGAGATTAATGGAGGCAATGTTTGCTGGAACATTTTGGATTTATTTCCCCTGGTACTGAATTTGTAAAATTATTACCTTTAAAACTAAGCTCATACTTAATGCCTTCATTTCCTTTTTGCACCACTCTTTGGGGCTGTTTGCCTCCTGCATGGAAATTTCCAAGAATCATAAGCCTTAGGAGACTTAAAACTGGAATTTCATCAGTTTAAAATTTGCAAAATACTTTGGTTCAGAGAAAAAAGGGCTAGTCTACTCCTCAAATAATACCATTTTCACATGATATGTTCCTTTAAAGGTCACATCATAAGACAAGAACATGAGATTTGTTATTGAATAGAAAGTGAGGAACTGGACAAGATTTGTAAACATTTGAATAGAATGATAGTCGGGTTACCCCCAACCCCATATTCTTTCCTCCAGGCCACATGAACGTAGCTGGTGTAGTCTATAACTGACTCTCACTTTATGGGGTGTGGAAGTCCATACCTTTTGTTTTTAGAGCATGTGAACCTTTTATAAATGTCTCTAACTAGCCGATGGTCGGACAACCGAAGATCAAATCGACAGCCAATCTGATCTCTTGGCTCAGCCATGCCAGATACTGTTTGGTCCCTAAACCATTTTATTTCTTCCTTGTTCTTTCAGTTCCCTCTTAAAAAATAGAAGAAACCTCACTACTTATTTCTCGGTGCCTGGAAGGACAAAATCCATTGTGACTTTCTTTTTCCTTTGGCTTTGGTAGACCCTTCAGGTCCAAATTTCCTCCAAGATAATGCCCAAAATAATTATAGCAGGGACTTGAGATTTTGCATACTTGGAGTGCTAAAAGGTGAGAAGTATTCCAAAAGAATTGCAAATTTTGGTTAGTGAGAACACTGTCTATCTGTTCATAAAGGCAGTGGTGGCCTATTTTATTAGTAGCTATTTTGAGAAATGTGGCAGGGCTCAGTGACCTTGTAGGTTTGGGTCCATATGAAGGCAGTAGTAGAAGTCACTGCCCTAAAAAAAAAAAAAAAAGAAAGAAAAAGAAAGAAAGAAAGAAATCACTGCCCTTGGGTGGACTGATCTTCCATAAATACCAACCTGTCAAAGAGAAAAATGAAGGGGAAAGAGCCTCAGGCCTGTATGAAAGATACATAGACCATCACATTTTCTTTTTTTATACTTTAGAAGTTCACTTGGACCCCTACAGAACATGGTGTCCTGTTGCAGACTGTCAGACGGTGTGCCCTGTTGCATCAAGTGACCCCGGACAGCCTGTGCAGGTGGAGTGTCCTTCTTGTCACCTGAAGTTCTGCTCATGTTGCAAGGATGCTTGGCATGCAGAAGTTTCCTGTAGAGATAGTCAGCCTGTTGTCCTGCCAACAGAGCACGGGTAAGAAAGGAAATGGTCTTTGGGATTATTCACTGATTTTCTCAGAAACCCCAAATATGTTGCTTGGAGGAGTTATCTTGCGATTGAATGTAGAGATTCGTTATTTCCCTGTGGAACTTCCCTGAGAAGTGTCTCAGAATTGGTGAGTTGTTAACAAAGAATAATGAGGAAAGCATTTCTAAGGGGATTTTAGTTATTTACCCCTGGAGAGTCTCCCAGATATGATGAAATAACTGTTTGCATAGATCTGGATTTCTCTTCAGGTGGAGAGGCGCATGGTCCACAGGTTTTCAGTAGGAAGTCATGGCTTTGTCCAGTTATTGGCATAGGAGTCACGACCACCTGCTATTGATTTACCTCATTCTTCCTGCTTGCAGAGTGATGCAGAAATAATTTTGTTACCTGACTATGCTGCATGCAAGCTTTGAGGTGTGCCAGTCATGTCAGAGCACTGCAATAGAAACAGCAGCTCTTCAGGGCAGTGCAGTGCTAAATTCACAGGTTCTAGAGGAAAAAGGCTACATCTCTCAATACTTTGTGCTCTGCAAAGATGGTGCCAAGGTTCAGATTCAGTTACAATGAGAAGCAGTTAAATCTGTACCTTTCAGTTCAGAGGGTTTTTCCAGCAGTAGAAGGGCCCAGAGTCAGAGACCTTTGTGCTTGATCCCTTGCTTTGCTTGAGTCTCTGGCTGTTATGCATTGGCAAGAACAGAGATGCCAGTGTTCTAGTCCAGTTGGCTTACTCACCCCACAGCCACAGAGTGTGTAGGACCATTCTTCAGGAATAGTAACACTACCTGGCTATGATACCGTGCTCGAATCTTAGATCAAGCAAACCAAGAGAAAACTAGATGTAATGCACAGGGCAGGCACATCCCTTCTTAGCCAGTACCCTCTGCATTTTCACTGCCATGGCAGGAGGGTCTGCAGGTATCATAGGACGATGTAAAGATCCCAGAGGAGAGAGGAGTTGGGTTCTGACATTGTCACTTGCTATCTGTGGGACCTCATGGGTGTCGCTCAGCCTCTATGAGTCAGTTTCTCTATTTGGGAAAAAAAAGAAAGTGGAGGGGAGAGAAGGAAAATAATAACTGTCTCACTGCTGTAATGTTATTGTGAATACCAGATCTGATCTTGGATCTGACCACACTTTATGGACTTGATGTCACTGGGTGCTGGTTTTGATGAACAGTAGCTAAAGGGCAGGCTGTGCTCTGGCTCCCCTAACCTTTCTCCTTCAGCGCATTCTCCTTATTTTCTATGCCCCTTAAGTCTGTGAGCCCTTCGGAGATGATCTCTTTAATGATGCTGGGCATTTCTTTTTGAGTATTGATTATTGCCTCCCTCGACCACTTCCATTTGTTTATCTGAACAGATCATTGGAAAGATTTATCTATGCCATGTCAGATCCTGAGCTAGTTTTTCTACTGTGCAGCAGACTTCTTGTGTTTTTGATTTAGACAGCGTATGCTCAGAGAATGAAATAATAATTTGGCAAAACGATGAATTAAGTCAGGTATGGCACATCCAATTAAATAATTCGCTCCAAGCCAAAGAGAAATAAATTAGAGTTCTTTTTTGTTGTGAGTTATCTGAAGGACTAATAATCTGTGTCCCTCCTCTTTTTTACCCACACCCTCTTCTGTGGAAGTAAATTAAGCTCAGATAAGAGTTCACTACCTACCCATCAGGGGCCCTAGGAATTCAGATGGTGACTAATTAATTATACTGAACCCACTCTTCCCCACCTCTCGTTAGTGTGTACATTCTTGTGGTTCTAGCTTTTAAATGAAACCCTGGCAGCGTTCTGGATCCCCACCCTATGATTTCTCATCCTTTCTGTTTCTAGGGCCCTCTTTGGGACAGACGCAGAAGCGCCCATTAAGCAATGCCCAGTTTGTCGGGTTTATATCGAACGCAACGAAGGCTGTGCTCAGATGATGTGCAAGAACTGCAAGCACACGTTTTGCTGGTACTGTCTCCAGAACCTGGATGTAAGTTCCACCCGGAAGTGTCTTCTCATGTGGTCTTTCTCTACACTGTATCTGTGCCACCACCAGGATCCTACAGGCTTTCCTTTTAAAATAGTGAGGAGCCTATGTTTGTCCTGCAAAAGAAGTTTATTTTTCTTAGTGAAACTTTCTGAGCCTGCTTTCAATGTCTATAAAATGTCTCTTTGAGTACCTTAGCTGTGTCAGCACAGCTTTAAAGGCAAGCTCTTGTTTTAGGGACATTTTCTGCTTTGGGGACACTGTCTCCTTTTATTATATTACATAAGGAACTATCAGCGTATTCATTTTATATTGCTGCTGTGACAAAGTACCACAAATTTATTGTCTTTAGTTCTGTACTCTGGAAATCTGACTTGAGTGTCACTGGATTAAAATTAAGGTGTCCTCAGGGCTGCATTCTCTTCTGGATTCTAGGGGAGAATCCAATTCTTTGCTTTTTCCAGCTTCCAGAAGCTGCCTGCATTTGTTGGCTTGGGGCCCCTTTCTCTATCTTCAGAGCCAGCACATCACATCTCTCCAACCCATTCTTCCATTGTCACAGCTCCCTCTGACCACAGCTGGGAAAGCTTCTCAGTGCTTAAGGACCCTAGGATTAGATTGGCCGCATCTGGATGATACAGTGATTAGGTTGACCATGTCTGGGTGATACAGTGATTAGATTGCTATGGTCTGGGTGACATAGGCCCTCCTCCCCCATCTCAGGGTCTTTCTTTAGTGACACTCCTAAAGTCCCTTTTGCCATGGAAGGCAACATGTTCTCCAATTCTAGGGGTTAGGCCACAGGCATCTGTAGGAGAGCCATTATCCTGCCTATCATAATTTGGTTGTCCTCTTGTTTTTGAACTTAAAGAAAAAAGCCACTCAAATCAGTAGGATGTCTTAAATAACCATGCCTCATTTGTTGGCACAACAGTGGCTCCCTTCCCAGACAGAGGGATCTGTCCCAGTGAACCTTTCCCCTCACCATTCATGAAGCACGTCTTGCCCAGTTCAGGTGCAGTGCATTCAGTCCCGTGCCAAGGCTCATGGTGACCTCAGAGGTAAAAAAATAGTGTGAAGGACTGATTGGCAGGTCTTAACTCCAATGCTCGTGTTTATTCTAACACACGTGTGCTGTCACAGAGAGGAATAGATAACTCCCTGTTGTGGCAATCTGGACTATTGAAATATGTCCACATCAAGGGTGAACCCTCCATCATGGTGAGGTGGACATTCTTTTCTCATTTTCTCTCATTTCTTTTTAAAAGATTTATTTATTAGAGAGAGAGAGTGCATGCACATATGCGCTCCTGTGCACAGGTAGGGAAAGTAAGAGAGGAGAGAGAGAGAGAGAATCTCAAGGAGACTCCACACAGAGCTGAGAGCTCACTGCAGGGCTCAGATCTCACGGCACTGAGCTCACAACCTGAGCTGAAATCAAGAGTCAAATGCCCAACCGACTGTGCCACCCGGCACCCCACTCAACTTGTCATTTCAATCGCCTAGTTCATTACAACTTGATAAGCAGTTGTGGTGTTTTAGTATCACACACTCCGTGAGTCCGTGTGCAGTTAATACGGGGCGTGTGCTGCCACCACCTGCGTGATTTGTAGCTGAAAATGAGGTAAGTTGTTTCAGATGACATCTGTGAGTAAGAATTTTAATCAGCCTGATCTCAGTGTTTCAAGCAGAGGTATAAATTGGGGGAAAGAAAACTGACATTTTAGACATTTCAAAAGCTCGGCAGCTCAGGTCGAAAGAAAGGTTTTTGATTTTTTTTTTTAAATTGTATTTCTCATAACCTCTTGAATTACAATTCTGTGTGATATTAGACCAATCATGATTCCAAACGTGTGATACCCTGGGTGTGGTTTTACTGATTGCATACCCCTCATGTTTTACAAAGGAAAAGATTCTTTTCTCTTTGCCTTCAGGTTTAACCAGAATATTAATTGGGTTCATACGCACAAGGAGGCTGAGCCCATGAGGTTCTTTTTAAGAGGCAAGGATGTAAGGGAATAAAGATGTGTGCCCAGATCTCTCCATCCTTTGTCTGAAATATGTTCGGGGTATGGTGTTGCAAAGAACACATTGTTCTGTTTCTTGGACTGTTCTGGGGCTCGAGTTGAAATGGTACAGATGTTAGAAGGCTGGATACACAGACTTCAAATATTGAAGCATCTTTTTCTGGTCATTGTGTTTTGAGATCTCATCTTCTTGGTTTTAGCCAGGGGTACTGGCTTGTTGGTAATGACGTTTTTCTCTTGACAAGTGCTCTGTGTCAGCTGGCGGTGTTGATCTTTGTTTATAGGAAGGTTTCAGAGCATGGGTCTGGGAGCAGGATGCTTGCCCAAGAGCCAAGCCTGAGACAGGCGACCAAACCTAAGTGATTTTTGAGTTTTGCTGAGGTGTTGGGTTGGGTCCTCATTCTTGGTGTTTCAGAGGATGAAATGTTCTTAATCTTCTGCTTTGAGGACCTCATAGACTTGTACCCTTCCATTGTCTCTCCTGGGATTTCATGTTGCACTAACGTCTCCGTGTATTCAGTTGTATCCCATTTAGAAATGAGTCACACTATTCTCAAGCCTACATTTCTCCCTTATCCCATTCTCTCTCTCTCCTCTTAGAAACCAAGCCTCAAAACAGCATCTTCACCTCTCGTTGACACTTTCTTACCTCCAGTATTTAAATACACTCAGCTTGCCACATCATCACAGTTTTGACTGTGTTTCTCCAAGGCTTTGAGTGACGTCTTTTGAGTAAAATCCAATGGATATTTGTCCTCCTCTTACCTAAATTCTCTGCTGCTTTTGACATCTTGACATCTGTTTCAGTGATGACATCTCTTCTGGTTTCCCTTCTACCTTCCAGGCCACCTCTCAGTTTCCTTCCCAGGTGCCTCTTCGACCCATCCTTTATCTTTATTTACTGTTTTTTAGAGTAAGAGAGCAAAAAGGGGGAGGGGCAGGGGGAGAGGGAGAGAATCTTAAGCAGGCTGTGTGCAGAGTGTGGCACTCTATCTCATGACCCTTGAGATCATGACCTGAGTCAAAATCAGGAGTTGGATGCTTTACCCTACTGAGCTTCCCCAGGCTCCTCCTCCTTCACCCATTCTTACGTGTTTTATGTTCACCGTCCCCTTTGCCAGTCTATTCTCTCTCCCTGGGTGATGTCATTTCCTGCGGTTTTTCTCCACCCTATGTACATGATTCCCAAGTCTTTTCCCCCAAATTCTCACCTGTGTAATCAGCTGCCTTTTGTAATCAGTACTGCTTGGATGTCTCAAGTGTGTCTCAAGTTCATCGTTTTGAAAGTGTGGCCATCATTTTCCCAGCAAAGTTCATCTCTCAGTTGTCATTTCTCTCAACCAGGTTCCTGCCTCTGCCCAGTGGTTTTCCCCTCATCTGCGATTACTTCTCCTCCTCCTCCCATCGTTCGTTACCTTCTTAGGACCCCATGTCTCCCCACGTCTGTGTTTCCCAGCTCAGCTGCTAGCGTTTTTTCTCACGTGTTTCTTGCAGCAGCCTGCTGGCTGTGTCACTCCTAGTCTTCGTTCCATGGCGCACCTGGGCTAGAGCCGCCTTTCAAAGATGAGTGCTCAGGACACTCATCCTTTCTAGACTCAGTCAGGAGTCTTGATGGTTATGATCTGTTTTCACTCAGTGATTTGTAAACGTACTGAGGTACATTCTAAGATCGTGGCCTTGAAATTTGTATTCCCTGAAAGAGCTTCTGCTTCCACCAAGGTGATCCAATGTGGTTAGCATTTATTTCTCATTTCAAAACAGCGTTCTCACCGAAACCTCTCTCTTTGTTTTTCAGAATGACATTTTCCTCAGACATTATGACAAAGGGCCATGTAGGAATAAGCTGGGCCACTCGAGAGCCTCAGTGATGTGGAACCGAACACAGGTACCCTGCCCTTGAAGGGAGTGTGAGATACACTGCCTTGGGATGGCTCACAAGGCCCACCTGTTCCTTCTCCCCACCCTGTTCTCTACTTACACATCCCAGCCTAGGAGGTTCTGGGGAGTACTGGGGGCAGGGCCAGGGAATAGTAATGAAGCAACTGCCTAAAGTTAGTTCATGAGCATGATACCCCTGGGGATAAGTAGAGGGGCAGGGCTCCAGAGCAGCCAAGTAATTAACAGTGACCTGCAGAATGAAGGCAGATATTCTTTCCTCTTGAAAAACACAGTAGAATCACTTTCCTAAAGCCCCATAAGTCGTATTTCCTATAAAAGGCAGTGCTCTAAAATCCTATGAGCCCCTGCTGGGGCTTAGATCCCTCTGTACATGCCATTGTGTGTTTCTGTGGCAGGTTCAAAGGGAGTCCTGGTTTATTTTTAATAGTGTTTCATATTTATTAAAGACTACGTTCCTTTTAAGGGCATCAGTGTTAATAGCCTAGTAATCGTTATTAGCATCCCTACGAGACTGTCAAGGAGACCGGGTAGAGAGAGAGCCAACAGCAACAATTCGGGATTACACGGAGCTTGTGCCAGAGCTCAAATTAGCGTCCAGTTTGTTCCTCTCACCTCCAATCTAGGCCTCGCTGTCTCCTGGGTTTAAATCCAGTTCAGATCATTGCTGGGCATTGGCCAAAAGTTCCTATAATTGGAACTGTTTTATGTGCCTGCGGTGGTGTCTTCGCTCAGGGTACTAGAATAAATTACCATAAACCGAGTGGCTTGAAAATTAGAAACATATTTCCCCTGGTTCTGGAGACTAGAAGGTGTCAGTGTGGTTTGGGTTGTGGCAAGGACCGTTTTCCTGGTCTGTAGATGGCTGCCTTCTCACTGTGTCCTCACATGGTACTGGACTCGGGGACAGGAAGCAAGCTCTCTGAGGTCTATTTTTAAAAGGGAGAGCACTAATCCCATCATAAGGGCTGCACCTTCATGTCTTCATTACCTCCCACAGGCCTTCTTTCCAAGTACCATTGTACTGGACATTAGGATTTCAATATATGAATCTTTGTGTGTTGGGGGGCGGGGGGATAAAACATTCAATCTGCAGCAGGTGGTATAGTATCCATATAGGAAGATTTAACTGCTCAAGTAGGCTTTTCTTCCAAATTTCCAGGTGGTGGGAATTCTGGTGGGATTGGGCATCATTGCCTTGGTGACTTCACCCTTGCTGCTCCTGGCTTCCCCGTGTATAATCTGTTGTGTCTGCAAGTCCTGTCGGGGCAAGAAGAAGACGCACGATCCATCTACAACCTAAACCTAAAGGACTCCTCTCATGTCCATGTGCCACAGACATCTAGGGTTATAAAGAGAAGCACAGTGATCAAGCCCCCACTTAGTGAACTTGTCTCCTCCTTGCCAAACTTTGAAAGTGCCTCTGTGTCCAGACTTTGAACTCGCCTGCCTGCCTGCCTGCCTTTGGCATCAGAAAAGGCCATGGCCTGGTGGGTGTGTTCCTGTGTAAAGACAACTGAGTTCTGCCGTCTAGGCTGTGTCCACGGAGCATGTCGGAAGCTTTGAGGTTGCTGAGAAGGGACTAACCCATCGTCATTTTATCCTCCGGACGATCCCACTAGACTATTCCAACTTCCAGCCGCATCCAGGGAGCCTGAGTGAACGTAGAATTAATGTATTGTCAGTTGGCAACACGCATCGTAACTGAGCAGCCAGAGTCTGGTCTGTGTTGATTTGACCACCACAGGGGAGAAACCCACCCCACCCCTGTAGGAGGGAAAGGATAATACACTTTAAGGGGAAATTGTCCTAATTGCCACGCAGCAGGCTGCGGATCTTAGGGAGTGGATATGTCGGTGCTGCCTCTGCAGGCTACTGGGTGTGCTGTTCCCGGCATTCCTACGGTGACTTGGCAGGAACACAATAGGTTTCTCCATGTATGATCTCAGCTTCAAGCAGGAGAAACTGCTGTGCACAGGAAGTTATCCCTTCCCAGTGTGAAAGGGTTGCAGCCTGTAAAACAATGTGGCCTGATTGAGTGGCTCTCCTTAGGCAAGAGCAACTTTGATAACGTGATAAATTCTCCTCCCACAGCCAGTAGCTGTGGTCTACAGGATTATTTTATGTGAAATACGGGTCGAGTGGCAGAGGTTAAAAACCTTCATCATAGGTACCAGAGCCCTTTCCTGAGCTCTGTGTTCATGCACCCAACACATTGAGAATTGGACCTAAAAGTACACACCACAAGTGAGTATCAGAGTCCATGTGTACATGAATCTGTGTAACTTGCTGCATACCTAGAATTTCCATCCATCGGGCATGCTTGAGTATATCCAGTGGTACACACAAAATAAATGTTTCCTCAAAGCCATTCTGTGTTTCCTTCTGGGACTAATATGGTTTATTATAAATCAACCTAAAGGGTTTTTTGCATATTATATATGTGAATTTTGGTTGCAAGTTCATAACTTACCCAAAGGTCTACACTCATAAACATAACTCTTTGAAAACAATACATAATACAATGTCATGCCATCTCTGTCTGTAAAAACACTGATAATCAAGTTATTTACATATTTTGAGACATAACTCAGAGCAGCTCTCTTTTCAGCAAAGGTTTGTATTGCTCTTTCAGCAAAGGTTTGTATTGCTCTTTCAGCATTGGTCAGGGCAATCCAAATACTTCCTGTGTGTACAAAGCACTGATAACACAACAAAAAATGTAAGAGATAAAATGTAAATGCTTTATCATAGATGCTTTGGGTTGGTATTGCCTTATTGCGACTTATGTTTCCCATATCCATCGGTCAGATTTTGAATAAACGGGTTTTGAAAAGACAACAACTTTTTCTCCAATGACAGGATTGCATAATTGCCATTAGCAACGTAGCCTGGTGCTTCAGGAGACCATGTAGAATGCTCATAGAGCGCTCTCCTTGAAACTAGCAACACTGCATCAGGGACTGTCCGAACCCATCGTCTTTTCCCGAGGTAACTGGGTAACTAGGTTATGAAATTGCTGCTATCCTGGATCTATTATTAAAGAATGATGCTTTGCCGATGTAACAGAATGTATCCTAAGTGGGGATGTGTATACTTAAGGAACTTTGGTTCACACGTACATAATGATATCTGATATATGTATAGTACATCTCTTGGTCGTGTACATTTTTATTTACCATTTGTATAGAACTTAGATGAGAACTCTGGGAAAACTTTTGAATGGCAACCAACCAAAAACATTTTTAATCATGTTTTGGAAATTTCTCAATCTTAAGTGTCTTTATTTTCCTTTGAAACTCTAAACACTTCAGAACAAGAATACCCTCTTCTATCGATGTATTTCATATTAGTATAAATATAAGTTGTACATAAGTTTGAATAAGTTGCTTTGTCTTAACACTGCCTCAGTATAGCAAAGGGCATTTATAACTGCTCAGGGGATCGCAGGGATTCAGCTGAAATTGAATTTTTCTATGAAGAATGTCTGTTGTGGCAATGTACTCTGGCAAGAGTGAACTCTCTGACCTTGATTCCGCAAAGAATCTTTGAACAGGGGCTGATTTCGAATAACCTAACATCCTGTGTTATCAGAGGCGGAGGTCCTAAATTTAGAGTTAAAGGTAGAGAAAGACATCCATACTGTTTCCTTGGCAAAACTGAAGGAACTTGTCTTCTCATAAAGGTACTGTAACAGAATCAGCTACTTATTTGTAGAGGATAGGGAATAGGGTGTTGATTGTGAAGCAGACTTTAAACAACTGGATTTAAGTTTTTAAATGTTGAAAAGTGCCTGGAAAATCGTAACTTCTTCCTTCTGTAGCACATGAATTGGCCTGTGTAAGATTGTCAGCATCAACAGGAACAGGTTAGTGGGTCTAACCTATATGTCTCTGGTCCATCAAAGGACAAGATGTAAGCTGAGGTAGAAACTTTGTTTACAAAGGAGATAGCGGACAACTTGGGTAATAGAGATTGATGTTTTCTTTTGAGATGATTGGCCAGGGAGAGAGTTCAACCTGTCTCCTTCCTCTGTATGTCAGCCCTATCTTCTCCTCGTGATCCTTTTTCTGTCCTAGGAAGAAATATGGTTCTACATGATGATGTTTGGATATCATGGCAAAAATCTTTGTTCTTGGAGCATATAGTCTATTTGAAATAGGAATCGAAACTCCTTCACTAGATTGTAATCTGAATGTAATACCCCACCCCACCCCCGTTTCCCACCCCTCATCCAGAAACACTAGCAGATATAAGGGCACAACAGCTAGCTGCTGACCCTCCTGGGAATTTTTTTTCTTGTTATGGGGTAGGGAGGCGAAGGGGAAAGGCCTGTGGAAGCAGATAATAGAATCGTGTGCATTCTGTTTGTTCACGCAATGGGTGTTTGCTCTGGACTTGAAATCTCTATTTTGATAAAGAAGCCTTTGAAAAACAAGGAATTCACAGTGTGGATTTTCATGTATCCTTCATCATGAAAACTTTACCTATCTAGATTTGAAAATCTACATGTTTATGTGAATGTAAATCACTGTTTCTTGGAACCCCAAATTGTCTCTTAAAAACTATTCAGAATCTAAATATGTGTTATTTAACCCTTCTCTACACAGTGCTTGACTTTCTGTTCATGAATGGATGCCTTTATGTATATAGAACCGTGTATATATGTGTCACTCTGAAGACAATTTCTTAATGCCTTAGATGAATGACATTTTATGAAGCTGTCAAATGATATCTGTAGGCTGTTACATCTCATGTTGATTCAAGATCCAGAAAGTTTTGTTATGTATTTAAGAAATTGCTGTTGTATTTTTTTTCTGATTATTTGAGAGGGAAATAGCTGTTTTAGTCTCTGTAGCCCCAATAAATGCAGAGGAGGAAAGCAAGCGTGGCAAACCTTTGTTGTGCTACATGTTTCTAGACACATTCAATTTTATCCTCCACGAACCACCCAAACACTAGTAATTCCTAGGTTCAGAATTTACAGAAAGCACCCAAATCTGTGATACCAATTTATGCAAATAACTCTTGCTATCTTGTTTCTTAAAAAAAAAATGAGAGGAAGTATAATTGCCTTCACTTGTTGCAGGCATTTGTGTTGTGTGTACGATATTCTACACGGTCAGCGCACAGGCATTGGTCCTTATCCAGAGAAGTAACCAATAACCGAGGTCTTTGATCATTCTAATAAAAAATGCTGCCAGGCATCAAAGCCATTAGTTCTCTAAAATGAGGGTTGGACTACGTGCTGTCTATGGCCAGTTCTAACCTTCCACAAGTCTGTTGGAGGAATGTTAATTTCCTGGTTAAGAAAGTTAAGGGAATTACATGAGTGTTAAGGTCATTTCCATCTGATTAGTATTCAAGGCAGGACTCACCAAAGGTTGAATACCTTGTAAGTTGGTTACCAACTAGAACTTGTGTTTCTGCAAAACTGAAAGCTCACATTCCTATCTTCTTGTGTTGGTTCCTCTTCATTGACCATTATCTGGCTGCAGTAGGATACTGATGACAAAGACTTAGGATTGACCTTCCGATTCAAATTCCGTAGTCTCATCACTCAGTTTTGAGGAAATCAGTAAGATCATATTAAAAGATTTTTTGGGTATGGCTTCTTAATTTGCTTAATCATTTCCTAGAATGTCAACATTATTTCATTTTTTAAGTGTCATTGTTTGCTAAACTTGAGTTTGCATCCCCGAAGAATTATTGAGTGAACCATTTTATACAGCAGTGATTTTAATCAATGCCCAACTGGCAGACTCCGTGCCATGTAAATCATGAGCCTAGTGAATCTGAAGGAGAATTATAATCAGGTTTCTCTGAATTTCAATTATTTTCATTTGTTAGATAATGTATGTTTTGACCCTAAAGATAGTATCCCGCTCCATGTTATGAGAAAGAAATGAACTTCATCAAATAATTCAATAGCAGTTACAATGTTTGACATATATTTTTACATATGTTTTTTAAAGAACTTTTGAGAACAATCATATGAGATAAATGGAGTAGATATTATACCTATTTCATAGAGAAAGCAGTGGTTTTATGTTCCTGTCTTGCCAAGGGTGACACGACTGATGAGTGGCAGCCAGAAAAAAGAATATGAGACTCCCTCAGAATACTTTCACGCTTTCATTAGTTAGGAATTCTGATCTGATCCTGCCTCAGTCCTGTATCTGTGAGTTCCAAGAGCATGAACTCCCCTCTCAATGATCTGCATCGGTGGAGGCATATGAAAGAATAATTTGTTATTTCAAATGATCATTTAGAGTCTGTGTTTTGATGTGACTGGGGCAGATTGCCTCCCTTGAGGTCAATCCCAGTCACTCCCTCGTTGTGGAGGAGGAGAAGAAATCATTCGGTGGTGTGTGTCTTGCAAACAATGGAACTAGAATTACAGGTGGGTCTATGTCCTTATTTCAGATGCCAACACATTTGTCTCTTCTCCACAATATAAAGTATATTCTCACAGGTTCCTTTAATGTTTACAGTCAACCCTCAGAGCAATTGTTAAATCCAAATCTTTTCCTTTTAACACAACCAGCTTTGTGTATATGTGGCCAATCTTTAAATCAATCCTTCGATTGGCAGTTTCAAAAGCAAGAAATGGGGCACTAAATGATGAATTTATTGAATGAATTCCTAACGTGTTTAAAAGAAGTTGTGCTTTGAATTCCATGTTGCCTCTATGTTCTTCAATTTTATCAATAGAATTTTATCAGTTTTCCCCCTTTTTTTATATGTTGAAACTGAATTCAGGCTTTAGATGAAAATGAAGTCTGATGTTCGCCATTTGTAGTTCCTTAATGATCTAGTGTGATCAAAGGAGTGTGATCTTCTTTTTGGAGGAATGGGTGGGTGGTTAACATTAATGCTGTTGAATGCCTCCAAATAAAATGAACGTGAAATTTTTCTCGAGTTGTAAGACTTCTGATTATTGATCAGTCTGGACTTAATTTTTGAAGCCAAGCTCATTTGTTTAACCAAAAGCAAACAAGTCCAGAAATCCACACACCGCCCTCCGTGATGTGTCCCGAATTCAAGCCTGGCCCTGGGACTTTGGCACTGCGAGGGCACGTGAACAGAATGTCGAGAGAGGGTTGGCAAATCTGATGTCACCATTGGCACAGAACAAGCAGGCAGTGTCCTCTATTCTCCCTGCCAACCCCCCCACCCCAGGAGTCCAGATGGTGTAGGATCAGGGGACCTACACCCAGCTAGCTGTAAGATGACTGCAGTTCCAGGTGTCACTTTGCTCTTGATTGGTTATGTGGTCTAGGCCCAACCGCTTATCCACAATGTCATTTCATTGTCCTGGCTCAGGCCAGATGAGATCACAAGTGTCAGAAGGACATTGCTTTTTAGGAGGTGTGAGGAAGGGAACCATTGCACTGTGTGTGCTGTGGCTGTGTGGGTGGCAAGTTTTCAGCCAGACACTGTTCCCAAAGGAGAAGATGGGGCTAATACATTTCAAGCCTGTGAATGTGGATCGAGGGAGGAATGACCTCCCCAGATAATATCTTTCTAGGTTTTAAAAAATTCCTTTTTGTTGCTTTTCCATAAAAAAATATTTTGCAGACAAATATTTATCTAATTGTATGCGCCATGAAAATGGGAGCTATGTGGAGAGAAAAAGGCAAAATTCATATCAACACAATGATTTTGGTGGTGGGGGGAGTTTGCTGTAAAAACTTGCATTTACACAATGTCATGTATGCAAAGTACTTTAAACACAGTCTCTTTTGCTCTTCATAATACTCCAGCAAGTAGTAGTATTATGTCCCCCTGCCCCCAATGACAGGGGAGAGGTGAGATTCAGGGGCTAGATGACATGGCACAAGGTCACACGATGGGTTAGTGGCAAAGCCAGAAACATCTTTCATGAGCCAGCACAGGACCTCTTAGCATTATTTTAATTTTTTTTCAGTGTCTTGAAACAATGCATTTATTAACCTCAGTGTCTGTACATCAGAAATTTGGCATGATGTAGCTGAGCTCTCTGCTCGGCATCTCTCTGGCTAAAGATCAAGGTATTTTAATTTTTAAAGATTTTATTTATTTAGCAGAGAGAGAGTGTGTGTGCACAATCGGGGAGTGGCAGGCAGGGGGAGAGGGAGAAGCAGACCCCCCACTGAGCAGGGAGCCCAACGCAGGGTTTGATCCCAGGACCCTGAGATCAGGACCTGAGCCTCAGGCAGATGCTGACCCTCAAGATCAACATATTGACTAGGTGGTGTCATTTGGGGCTCAGAGTTCTTTTCCAAGCTCACTGATTCCAAGCAGAATTCAGTTCTTTCTCGTGCCTTCCTTGTGGTCCTGTGTATCTACAAGCCGCGTTGAGTTGTCAAAGTTTGGAAATAGCAGAAGGCCAATGAATCACCCAAGTAATGATTAGTAAAAGTTTATTGAGCACACACCAAAAAGACAATTTGTGAACAAGGAGCACTCACTGAGCCAAAATATGGAATGAACCTCCGTGTTAGTTGTTATAAACCAGCTTAGATGGTGAGAAAACAGTGTCTATCCTTCACAGAGATTGGTTAGGATATTAAAATTCCCTTAAATGATAATGTATTTGTCAGTGGTCGCCTCCTATCAACCTTAGGAGGTAGTTTCAAGTGTTGCATATGATTTTCAGACATATAAGCAAGAAATGACCCAGGTCAAGTTAGTCTTGCAAAATAAGCTAAATTAAGCTTTGTTTGTATCACTCAACTGGTTTTAAACTGCAATTCAGGGAATTTTTCAAGACTGGTTTCTATTTATTTTTATTTTTTAAATCCCCCCCCCTCCCATTTTGGTCATTCTCTCAGGAGGCTGAGAGTACTACCAACAGTATGATGTTACTCTTACAACCGTTGATGTTGTCAGGCTGAAGAGTCCACACATTCGATGTTTTTGTGCAGTTGCATCATCAGGCCAAGATGTAGTCAACATCTTCATCACTTCTGTGGTCATTGTTGATTTCATCCAGTTGTCTGATCCTGACAGATACCATTTGGTGTGTGAGTGGCTGCTGACAGATGTTTAAAGCCCTAGAGAATACAGAACAGACTGGAGAAGTTGATATGATCACTATAAAAAGAATAATAGTCGAGGATTGAAAAGTTTTCTAGAGCAGAGGTTCCCAGGAGCCAAGCTTTGGCCAATTAAATAATTCAAATGGGTTATAATTTTTGAACTTACATAGGCACAACGCGATGTATTAGCAGTCACATGTCCTCATGATTACTTAGGACAGGATGACATGAGGATGTTTTGTTTTAAGAGGTGGTACTGCAGGTGGGCTTCCACCTAAATTAGCTTCTATATGATGTGAGCAACCAGGTAATTTAATGAGAGCCATTTCTATGGAAATAAAAGGCAAACCAAGGTTAATAGTTCAAGCAAATTATAAAACTGGTTCCTGAGTTCAGAGGGCAACCTATTGAGAGGACTTCTGGACTTTGGGTTGTAAGCGTCTTCAGATGGAGCAGGGGCAGACAGTGGTGATCTGTCTGATTTTCAGGTTTGCAATGTGAATGTTTTGGATGATTTTTCTGAGTGGCCACATTGCAACAGGCATGAAGATTGTCCCCACCCATGAGCTGTCTCTAAAGTTTTTATCAAGTAGCCCAGCTTTAGTGTCCATGGTTTCTGGGAAAGGGCAGTTTTAATTCCATAGCAATTCCAAAACAAAAGAGTGGGAGAAAACTGGAAATGTTAGCTCTTGGAGAGCTCTAGCCAAATGTTGGGAGAAACTAGGAAAATTCAGAGTTCAGCCCAGTTTATAGGTAGAACATAAAACCTCAAAGACAATGAGCCACTCCAAATCTGATATCCATAAATATCAGATAACTTTTCTCTATAAATCATCTTCATTTTCATCAAAGATAACCACAGTAGTAAGTCTTATCTGTCGGAAAATTAAGTCTAGTTTCAATAAACTTGTCCTGATTATTTATATAACCGCAGTAAGCATAGTGATTGACCACATAGGCTCTTTTAAACCTGCTTTGCTGGAGCTTTTCATAAGGAATCCTCAGACTGGACTTTCAAGTCTCTTGAGGCTAGGAAGCCGAGCCAAGGCCTTGTTCAAGGAAAACAGATTCTTACTGAACTTATGCAAGCACATATAGTGTCATGAAAGTAAGAACATTTTATAAGAGTTTTTGAATGCTGGAGGGATCAAGTAGGGAGAAAGAAGTAAACGTTTCAACCTTTGTTGCAAAGATACACTCTACCAAATTGCTGTAAATTACAGAGAGCTTAAAAGAGGAAAGGGGTCCTTTAATTCTTGAAAACAAAATGCTAAAGAACTAGCAGTGTTTTAAATGAAATCATAAAAAGTTGTAAGCATTGAGGTGCCTGGGTGGCTCAGGGGTTGAGTGTCTGCCTTTGGCTCAGGGCGTGATCCTGGGATCGAGTCCCACGTCAGGCTCCCCACAGGGAGCCTACTTCTCCCTCTGCCTGTGTCTCTGACTCTGTCTCTCATGAATAAATAAATAAAATATTTTTTTTTTATTTATTTATGATAGTCACAGACAGAGAGAGGCAGAGACACAGGCAGAGGGAGAAGCAGGCTCCATGCACCGGGAGCCTGACGTGGGATTCGATCCTGGGTCTCCAGGATCACGCCCTGGGCCAAAGGCAGGCGCCAAACCGCTGCGCCACCCAGGGATCCCTATATAAAATCTTTTAAAAAAATGTTAGAACCATCTTCATCAGGTCATTCAGTCCCTCGTAATGATTCCTGCTTTGCTTCTTGGGTTAGCAGCTTTATGAATCAATCAGTTTTCCATCAGAGTTTTAGAAATTCTTTCTTTTTTTTTTAAGATTTTATTTATTCATTCATGAAAGACACACATACACACACAGAGAGAGGCAGAGATATAGGCAGAGGGAGAAGCAGGCTCCATACAGGGAGCCCGATATGGGACTCGATCCCGGGACTCCAGGATCATGCCCTGGGCCAAAGGCAGGCGCCAAACCGCTGAGCCACCCAGGGATCCCCCAAGTTTTAGAAATTCTTACCCAGTTTGGTGTCATGATCCTCAAGTTCTCAGAAACCTGCATTAGAGAGTACTTGTCAGGGTCTTTTCCATGAATCTCTTTGAAGATGGAGTATTTCTGTTCATAGTTCAATGTAAATGCTCTCAGAGAAGAATCAAGATGAAAGCAATAGCTGTCTGTAAATGGCCAAAGCCTTAAAAGTGGCCATGGTTAAAGATCTGATGAGAATTCATTGTAATGCAATTGACAAGGGAATGTGGTTATTTCTGTGCCATACTTTTTAAAATTATAACTGATATCATTATACTAAGACCTGTGAGATTTTAGGAATTTCATACAAATATCCCCTATAGAAACTTTAGCATCACCTCTTATTTATTTATTTTCCGTCAAATTTAACATATACAAAAAGTTACATCGTTGTAAAAAAATATTAACTGTTTTAATAGAGAAGACTCAGTTTTCTTAACTAACCGAAGACCCGACAAAGACAAAACACAGAATCTCAGTTTGTTTTTTTTTTAATTTTTATTTATGATAGGCACACAGTGAGAGAGAGAGAGGCAGAGACACAGGCAGAGGGAGAAGCAGGCTCCATGTACCAGGAGCCCGACGTGGGATTCAATCCGAGGTCTCCAGGATCGCGCCCCTGGCCAAAGGCAGGCACTAAACCGCTGCACCACCCAGGGATCCCTGAATCTCAGTTTTCTAGGCAGATCACATTACAGATAAAGAAAAAACTTTGCTTACAATTTCTTTTTAAGAGCAGATCAATAATCTAAGAAAACAGAAAACCAAATTCAAATTTTACAGCAGTGTACTTTTGATATTAAAACTCTCCTTTTTTTTTTTCTTTTGTAGCTTAAAGAAATCCATTCCAGGCTTAGACTCAACCACACATAAAATTCCTTTCTCAAGATTCCTCTCCCACAAACCTTCTACCACTTTCCATATCCATTCAACTTTTGTATCTTTTTCTCTTCTTTTTTTGGAACAATCATTTTACTTCAGGACAAAATTGCTTTCCTTTTTCTTCACCAAAAACCAACCAACCAACCAACCAACCAACCAACCAACCAACCAACCAACCAAACTCCCTCCTGTCCTTCAGGCCTTTCCTCATTTAAAAAAAAAAAAAAAAAATCTATTTTCCTAATCTACTCTTCACATACATTGTTTTCATTCATTTTTATTATTTCTAACATTTTATTTGTACATATGGATTATAAATTTTAACTCTTAGTAATCTTTAGTAATCTTAGTTATCTTTCCAGAGAAACCTCAGAAGCAAGCAATTGTGAGCTATCATATATAAGCATCCTGTATTGAAGTAGCAATTTGTAAATACATTTCATAATTTCTAGAAGTGTGTTCTTCTTTAAAATAAAAATTTCAGGACACCTGTGTGGCTTAGTAGGTAAGTGTCTGATGCCTGATTTCCTCTCAGGTCAGGATCTCAGGGTCCTGGGATCCCAGCCCCACCTCAGGCTCTGTACTCAGTGGGGAGTCTGAGGCTTTCTCCTTCTCCCTCTGCCCCTTCCCTGTCTCCCTCAGATAAATAATCTTAAATTTTTTTTTCAATGTAGCATAACACATGTTTACTAATAAACCTAAATATCTCTTGTCTCTCTATAAAAAATTAAAAGCCCAAAGTAAAATACACATGTTTGTCATTTAATGCTTATCTTATTTTTAAATGACTTACATATTCAATAAATATCTATTATTTAATCCAACTTAGAAAATTTTCCTATTTACATTGATTTAATAACTTGCTTTTACAATTAGGTTTGGATTAGACATTAAACAGCTAACCATTATCTTATGATATTTTTCATGTTGACAAATTTTGAAGACACACCCACTTTATGAAACCAACAAACTTAAAATAGCTTTTATTTATCAAAGATTATCTCAGATCATGTGAACTTGAAAATCATTTAGGCTAGTTTCCGTATTTCTAAGAATATACTTGATTCATATTAACACCTAATTTTCTTTAAACCGCTAAGTAGAGCTCTGTACAAATACACTTTGGCAAAATCATCTGGAGGTAGAAAAATATCATATCTATAACACACATACATACACATACATAAACATACAGAAAGATACAAACAGAGATCTTATGGTTTTTGTTTAAAAAGCTTTAGCCGTGACTCAGGGATAAAACTCAAAAGAACAGTTGTATCCAAATTATGTTCTAACAGATGAACTAAGTTAAGGTTACTTGTTCAGATGACCAAAGTTTTTTTTTTTTAATTAAATATTTTTATTTGTATGCTATAAGGTTTTATTTTTTCATGCTGTAAGGCTTTAGAGCTATTTTTGGAGTCACTTTATCTTTTAGAAACTTCTCTACACCAGAGAATGTATTTCATTATCCCTGAGAGGTTTGGAATCCTTTCTTTTAAGGATGTCCCTTATGGTGGATTTATCTGAGTTTGATTCCCCAAAATAGCCACTACAATTTCAAAAGTTCACTCATTTCCCAAAAAGCCTGGTCCATAGGGCAACTGGAACCCATCTCTGTCTTTAGATACCCTATGGGGGTACATGGGTTGGTTCAGTGGGTGAAGCATCTGCCTTTAGCTCGGGTCATGATTTCAGGGTCCTGGGATTGAGCCCCACCTGGTCAGGCTTCCTGCTCAGCAAGAACCTGCTTCTCCATCTCCCATCTCCCTCTGCTAACCCCCACCCTGCTTGTGCTGCCTCTCTCTCTCTCAAGTACACTTAAAAAAAAAAAAAAAAAGATAACCTACGAAGTTTTAACTATGAGGATCCCTGCTTTCCAACAGCTATTAAAAAATACAGGCAATCACGTTTCCCCTACTTTTGAACAGAATAGAAGGACTTCCCAAGAAGCTTTAACAAACAAAATCAGAAAGCAAGCTTGCACAGTACAGTGGGAGGCTCAGAATGCAAAGACAGAGGAGCTTAGGTCCAAGAGAGACCTTCAAATTTCAGGGTTGATGAGAAAGCAGTGAGCTTGTGGGCTCTCTGGGTACCAGCACCCATTTGCTTGCTGTCATCAGACTCACTGGGGGTCTTTTTTGGATCTCATTTCTCATGCCATGGAATGGCAAAAGTTCAGAAATAACAGAAGTAAAGCCACTGAATCGCCAAAGTAGACATGAGTAAGAGATTACTGTGCATACACCAAAAAGGACAGTTTGTAAACAAGAAGCATTCAGATTAAAATATGGAATGAGGCTCAGCAGATATTGTGATAAAGCAGCTTATATAGTGAGAAAGCAGGGATTGATTAGAATATTATAATTTTCTTAAATGATAGGAAATTAGCACTGATTACCTCACATCAACCTCGGGAAACGGTTTGAGTTTTGCTTAGGATTTTCAGAGGCACAAGCAAGAAATGACCCAGGTCAAGTGAGCCTTGCAAAATAAGCTAAATTAAGCTTTGTTTGTATGACTCAACTGGTTTTGTCTGCTTGGGGGAATTTTCAAGGCTGGTTTCTGTTTGCATTTTATGTTAACCCAAGTTCTTTTCATATTCCAGATCTCTTTGACTTTCTCTTCTGCTCCATCTCTGATTTCCCTGAAAGTGACAAATGGGAACCTGCTTATGTTGGTCATTCTCGGTGGGCAGTTTAGCTTTCTGTTGTTTGGTTTCTCTGCTTTGTGAGGTCAACACTTCACAGACATGATGCTATCATCAGCTGAAGAATTCATGAACTCAGGGAAGAGTTAAGAGCAAAACCTAGCTTTCCTACAAGGGGACTGTTGGTCTAAAGTTTCAGTTGACCTGGGGTGGCCAAGGTGTGAGCTGCAATCCTTCTTCTGGATGGGAGGCCCATTTGGTCTTTATAGGACACCGGTTTTCCCAAATGGACTTAGAAGAAAACCCAATCTCATCTTTTTCATCAAAGCTTCAGAAGACTCAAGATTAGACTGAATCTTGTGTTGCTTTCAGAAGGAACAATGCCTTGTGAGAGCTGGTTTTAAGTACGGGATGGTGTTTCCATTCAAGTCAGACCACTAAAGCAAGGGATTTGAGTTAACCAGTTGCTGTGTGTTGTTGAGAGATCCTCACCAGAAATCAAGATCGTCCCCTCTTCCCCTCTCCCACCCAGTGCAGCAATCAGACCCTAAGCAGATGTTTTAAGTTTTAAGCTAGAACAGCCATTCTTCTGAGTAGAGATGGACAAGTAGAAGGAAGTGTGAGAGCTCTTCTAGTGCCTCATGGCTTTGGACACTGTACAAGTTATTTTGGCTCCCTTTTCCTCATCTGGACAATTGGAAGTGACTGTTTTCTAAATCCAATTCAAATCTGACCTTTTGTGTAAGATGGAAAAGATCATATGCATGAGAGTAGTTAGCATAAGGGAACTTCTTATTAGACAAGGAACTGGTGATTGCCAGAAGCAGCTTCCAGGCATCAAATTATTGATAGTTCCAGAAGGGTGTGAAAAATATTACCAGTTAAGATGAGCAAATTTAAAGAACAAGTTGAACTTCATGGTTTGTTTACAGCTTTCGGTGGCTGAAAAGACTTACAGCAAAAGTTGCTTGGGGAATTTTCAGGGACATGTTTCTTCTAGTTTTTATAGTAGAGATGTCAGAGCCTCAATATCCTTATTTGAAGCACATTATGGATTATCTATTCTGAGTGTGTCAGTCTGAGGATTCTTTTTAACATTTAGTTGCTTGCTGTTGATTAATTGCTCTCAGTATTTCTCAATATTGTTCTCAACACATTGCATGTTCTATCAATTGAGTTAAATTGAAGGTATATATGTATATGTGTTAATGGATAGGATAGTATGTGACAATGTGTGTGTGTGCGCGTGTGTGTGTGAGTAGTCAAAACCTAGGTGGAAAACTGGCACATCTACATCTACTTAGGTACAATGAAATTTTTATTCAGGCTAAATAACAAATTTTACTTTCAAAAGTAAAACACAAAACTACTTCCAGATTTCCAACTGTAAATTAAGAATTAAAAAGTTACATAAATATCTTTAAGTGCTTAAAAAGTTTTCTTTTTTAATTTTCGAACCAAAATGTGTTTTTTTTTCCATGGATTGCTTGAAACCCACAATAACCTGTTCTTAACTGAGAATTGCTCTCTTTTGTGAAATAATATTCTCACTTAGGGCTTTTAACATTTAAGAGTAACATTTTTTTGGGGGGTACACAATTTTATTTTTATTATTTTTAAAGATTTTATTTATTTATTTATTCATGAGAGACAGAGAGAGGGAGGCAGAGACACAGGCAGAGGGAGAAGCAGGCTCCATGCAGGGAGCCTGATGTGGGACTCGATACCGGGACTCTAGGTTCATGTCGTGGGCTGAAGGCAGGTGCTAAACCACTGAGCCACCCAAGGATCCCCAATTTTTATTATACTATTTCCATGTGGTTCAAAAATTACATAAGAAAAGTTTTTTTGAAATTGTATAGATAATAAAGGGGAACATACAGATAAATTTTTGCACATACAGGTGCCTGAGGCTATAATCACTCACTATACTGTCTGGTATAGAGAAGGTGATCAGCTTAGTAATATAAAACAAAGCAAAAAAGAAAAAAATAATCCCCCTGAAGTCCCTCTTATTGCTCAAGGTATTAATTCCCATCCCAGCTTCTTGCCTGATCACCCAGTTCTTTTACACATACACAGTCTTACACTTTTCCAACGAGTATTTATTATTAGTTAAGCCACTATTCAGGATCCTAGGGTGGGGATCACCATGTACCCAGGTCCCCCTTCACCATCCTGGGAAAAGGATGGAGGACAGAGGAGAGGTGGGTGGAGCCAGTTCAGATCTTCCCAGAAAATGTGCCTTCTGTCCGGCAGTCATCCCAGGCCGACACCCACGATATGGGGCAGAGGGACTTGTACACACGCCGGTACCATTCGCACACGGAGACATCACCCCTTTTAGCAGTCATTGCCTTCTCACAGCGGTGGAAGTCCAGGTAGTTCTGCCAGCAGTTCCTAGTCTGGTTCTGGTTGGGGAAGTGGCTGTCAAAAAGGGGAGTCTGGTAGTTCTTGATTTTGGACCTGATGTCTTCTGCCATGGTGCTGACTCTAAAGACACCCCTGCAGCACCTCGCAGCTCAATGTGACCCTCAGGTAAGAGTAACATTTTTTTTAAGAGTAACATTTTTCAGAGTAGTCATACTAAACTTATTTCTAATGTTTGTATTAGATGTCACAAATATATCATAACTGTAACCCAACGAACCAATGTGAGTTCCCTCCTTGGTGAGTCACAGATACACAACAGGTGGAAGTGTCCCACGAAGAAAACTTTATTCGCAGCAAATAAGATTACCGAGAATAACTTCCAAAGCTATAACTCCCTGAACAAGGGCGGATGAGTTCCTTTTATTGAGGGTTAGGGTGACTATTAAGTTAGGGAAGCCTTGTCATCAAATGTAGAGGTGGGCATAGGTTGTGCATGCACCTTAAGGAAAGATGCTTCTACATCCATTGTGCGTTATGTAAATGAGGCTTGTGCTCCTCATTGGGTGGAGATTTTAGAATTATAATGAAGTAAAGGTCATTATTGGTCACTCCCTGGTGCATCTGCCCAGGAGCAGGTCAGGGGTTCTGCTCAGACTGGTCTGGGTGGTCTTGGCTGGCTGGAGGTTGGGTCAGGGCAGTAGCTGTGGCTGGAAGGGTGGTTTCTCTTTCCATCTGCCTGAGTTCAGAGAAAAGCTGGAAAGAAGAGCTTAAGGAAAGATGTGGGACAAAGGTGGGTGAATATAAGCAGGTGGGCAGTGAAGGTCAGGTTTTGGGGTCTAGCTGGTGACATAACCAAGTAAGTAAAACAAAAAGTTGAAAAAAATCTGCAGACTTAATTTCTCTTACCCATTTTAATGAAAAAAAAAATGTGTGTGGGTGCCTGGGGAGGGGCTCAGTCAGTTAAGCACGTGCCTTAGGCTCAGGTCATGACCCCAGGGTCCTGGGATTGAGCCCTGCCCTGGGCTCCCTGCTCAGCCGGGAGCCTGCTTCTTCCTCTGCTGCTCCTCTTGCCTGTGTGCACTTTCTCTCTCTCTAATAAATAAAATATTTTTTAAATGTGTATTGATTGCATCTTAAAATGGAAAAAAATGATGGGGGGAACCAAGGGAAATGATTGTACTCTTTCCTTATTGTGCATTCATAATCTACAGGGCATTTCTCAAATATTTCCACACAAACATCCTCAGCTGGTGTAGGAACAGGAATTCACCCCTGGAAGAACGAAATGACCTGGAAGTATTGCCCGAAGTGAACCACTGAAGACTAGAAACTTTTTTGACATCTTGTTTTGTTTTCTAATTTTATTGTCTTTAAAATTCATCTAAAAAGTATAAACTACTCCGTGTTATTTTGATTTCATTGAAAAGATAACACTATAAATTACCTAAGTAAAATGAACTTCTTTGAAGATACTTCCTTTTTATCTTGTGTTCTCCAGTACCACTGAGTCCCTCTGGGATGCAGCTAAACCTGTTTGTGCAGCATGAACCTATAGCTGAACTCACTGAAGAAGCAAGCCTTTCAGACTACCATACTGGTCAGGAAGCACATATTCAGAGCCTTCTTTGTACAGACAGATGTGTGGCAAATGCTCCCCTCAAGCGGCTTACTCTGGTTTGGGAGAGAAAGCACACCGGGCCATAGGATGATGAATAACCATATCAGGTCATTTCTATAAATGCCAGGGGAGTGGCAGAGATTTGTGCTATGAGCATGTGGAGGAGCACAGACATTACTGAAACTCTTTGGCTAGGGGTTCACAGAACCAATACCGAGTCAAGACTCTAGAAGATTGTTAGGATTGTGATTGCAAAGAAGGGGATGAGGGCATTCCAGAGAGGGGGGGTATGGTGACACCAACGTGGCTTGGGGTGTGATGAATAGTCTGATTAAGTTTAGATAAAGCACCTGTAGGGCTGAGGAGGGCCAGATACAGATGAGAAAAGAAACTTGACTTCCAGGCTCAGGAGTTGGTGGATCTTTTTATAGTGGGAGCCATTTAAGGGCTGTGAGCTGAAGGGGTGGTTTGTGCAAAGGTATACATTTGCTGGTTAATCTGACAGCAGTGTGTTGGTTGAATTGTAAGAGAGTAGCATGAAGAGTTAGAGAGGACTGTGGCATCTGTCCAGGTATTATTTAATTAAGGCCTGATGCAACGTAGTGTCCACAGAGAAACGTGTGGGGGGTGAATAATGCAAATGAGAAAGATGTTTCATACATAAAAAATTTAATAACATTTTGGTGATTATATCATTTAGAGTAAGTGCTTTTTATTTAGTTTTATTTTATTTTTTTTAAGATTTTTTATTTATTTGTGAAAGACACAGAGAGAGAGGTAGAGACACAGGCAGGGGGGGAAGCAGGCTCCCTGTGGGAAGCCTGATGTGGGACTCGATCCCAGGACCCCGGGATCACAACCTGAGCCAAAGGCTCAACCACTGAGCCACTCAGATGCTCCATAAGTGCTTTTAAAAAGTAGTCCATTACACTGCTGTTTTCTTGCTCGAACATATTATTGACTTGAATCTAAAAGTCCCCATACTATTGCTCTGGGTCTTTACCCAAAATCAGCTCAGAAGAGGTTTTGTTAACGTGAAGCTTACTCATGGGTTTTACCCTAAAATCCTCTTTGGAAACCAAGCAGAGAATAAATAAAATCACTCATGGGGCACGATAACTGGGCAGCCAGATCAAACGTAGAACAACTGTGTGGGAGATGGATTTCCCATCTCCTCCTTGGCTTCCTACTTCTACTCGATTCTTACAAGCAAGGGGCACAGGAGAGTTTCTTGTGTTAATGAGTTCATTAGTGATTATGAAGTGCTTTCAACCCACCTAACCTGCTCCTGTTCTGGGGAAAGCTGGGAGCCACTGTAGCACACAGCCAGCTGAACAAAGACGGGAAATGGAGCTGAGTTCTGAAAGCGCTCTGAGGACGTCAGTTGACCATGTTGTTCTCATTTACTTGGCAAGGAATTCCCTTTGAAAGCCCACTAAGGTGTGTCTTTCCCCTTAGTTGCCATTCTGTCTGCTAGTAAGAGATACTGATGTAATCTTATGTTATACACACTTCTGTCTTCTAGGTGGAGAACTAAAGCTTATAGCAGAATGACTTGACTCAGTGATTCTATTTTATTTTAGTTTTTTAAGATTTTACTTATTTATTCATGAGAGACACACAGAGAGAGGCAGAGACACGGGCAGAGGGATAAGCAGGCTCCATAAAGGAAGCCCGACGTGGGACTCGATCCCAGAACCCCGGGATCATGACCTGAGCTGAAGGCAGATCCTCAACCTCATTAGAGTATCCTCATTTTGCCTTTTGCTCATGGAAACCATTTGCTCTCTGAGTCTGACCCAGTAGCTGTGGGAGCTCTGCTTAATTATACCTGAACAGAGACCAGAGAAGAGAAACGAGGAACACTGAATTTTGGCCAACTTGGCCTCTGTTAATCAATACCCATTATTTTAGGAAAAAAAAAAAAGAAAGGAATAGTTGCATAAAATGATCAGAGACCAACATGCAGAAAGGCCTAGCCCTCTGCACTTCTGTGCTGATCAGTTGATGAGCAGGGGAGAAAGGTGTAACTTGGAGAAATGCTTGCGCTGTTTTTTGTCCTAAGTTCGATAGATCCCAGCACACACAGATGTTCCTCTGTCATTTCTGCTGATACTCCTGTTGTATTGAGAGAGCGAAGAACTGAGTCAGATAGAGAGGTCTTTAAACTAAAAACAATCTCTGATTCTCAGAATTTTCCTTTTATCTGAGTCATTCTCTGTTGTTTCTTGATAGCCAGATATTTGTTTTATTTTTTTAAAGATTGTATTTATTTGTTCATGAGAGACAAAGAGAGAGAGTGAGAGAGGCAGAGACACAGGCAGAGGGAGAAGCAGGCTCCACGGAGGGAACCTGACATGGGACTCGATCCCGGGACCCCAGGATCACACCCTGGGCTGAAGGCAGGCGGTAAACCCACTGAGCCACTGAGGGATCCCTATCTGTTTTCTTAGTTTTTTCTTTTTTTTTCTTATTTATTTATTTATTTATTTATTTATTTATTTGTTTTCTTAGTTTTTTCAGTGAATTCTTGGATTAGTTAATTTTATTTTGCTTTCTCCTCTTTTTTTAATTTTTATTTTATTTATTTATGATAGGCACACAGTGAGAGAGAGAGAGAGAGGCAGAGACACAGGCAGAGGGAGAAGCAGGCTCCATGCACCGGGAGCCCGATGTGGGATGCGATCCCAGGTCTCCAGGATCGCGCCCTGGGCCAAAGGCAGGCGCCAAACCGCTGCGCCACCCAGGAATCCCTTATTTTGCTTTCTAATTCATCAATTTAGTTTTTTTAAATATTTTATTTATTTATTCATATAGATGCAGAGAGAGAGGGAGAGGCAGAGATACAGGTAGAGGGAGAAGCAGGCTCCATGCAGGGAGCCCGATGTGGGACTCGATCCCGGGTCTCCAGGATCACGCCCTGGGCTGTAGGCGGCGCTAAACCGCTGCGCCACCGGGGCTGCCCCATCAATTTAGTTTTTAATCCTTGTAAATTTCCCTCCTGCATTTATCTTTTAATTTTTTTTCCTTTTTACTTCTTGGGTTGAAATTTTCACTTATTTTCATTCTTTCTTGTTTAGCTATAAAAGCATTTAAAACTATGAATTTGGGGGTGGGGCACCTGGGTGGCACAGGTGGTTAAGCGAACAACTCTTGGTTTTGGCTCAGGTCTTGATCTCAGTGTTGGGCCCGTGCATTGGGCTCCATGCTCAGCACAGAGTCTTTTTGAGATTGTCTCTCCCTCTCCCTCTGCCCCTCGTGCTTGTTCTCTCCCTCTCTAAAATAAATAAATAAATCTTAAAAATAAAAAGGTATGAATTTTCCTTTACACGTAAATTTTTTTTTAAAGATTCTATTTATTTAGTCATGAGAGACGCACACAGAAAGAGAGAGGCAGAGACACAGGCAGAGGGAGAAGCAGGCTCCATGCAGGGAGCCTGATGTGGGACTCGATCTTGGGACTTGATCCTGGGACTCGATCCTGGGACTCCG